GTTGAACTTCTCATATATAATCTTACATTGATATACTTTCAAATATTTATTTAATTATAAACATTGGGTAGAAAAAATGACTATCAAATTATTAAATCAAATGAATAGTTCAGATTGTTCATATTTTTATTTTTCCTTGAGATTTCCTAATTTATCCTTAATTATATGATTATTCGATCCGTTAACTTTTCCATTAAGTACTGTTAATTCACCGTAGTCTAATTCTAATATTAAAGTCTAATATAGAATTATAACTACAACATTAATTTAATTCTAATATTAAAGTCTTAATAGAACTCTAACTACAAATCCGGCAAATTGTGTTGTGAGCACGTGCCCACCTTGCAAGGTGGGCATGGTTCCATATCCATAATTTCTATACAGCAGATTCATAATTTCTATACTGTAGATTCATAAAATTTATACTTTAGATTCCAATTGTTGAACTCTCTGTTTTCACAAATCAAAGAACTATATGTTCATAATTGATAATTATACAGTTTAGAAATTAGAAATTTACAGTATAAAAATTATGAATCTACAGTACAGATATTATGAATCTGCAGTATAGAAATTATGAATTACTGTATAAAAATTATGAATCTACGGTATAGAAATTATGGATCTACAATATAGAAATTATGAATCTACAGTATATAAATTATGGATATGGAATCGTGCCCACCTTGCAAGGTAGGCACGTGCTCACAGCATAACGCTCCTACTGTCGGAATCTCCACAAACAATATTAGTATATATTTAATATTTTATGCTTTAATTTTTATTTGCTCTCCCTTATATTCTGTATTTGGTTTCAACCATACCCATACAATTATTTTATTGACAATTATAATCAATCTTGACTATATCATCTTGCATTTGTAAACTTAGAATTACCAATTTAAATAAGCAAATTCAACATTCAATTATCTATGCATAAACAATTCCAATATAAACTTGCCTTGATATACTTTAAAATACTTATTTAAGAAAAACATTGGGCATTATCTCAATCGCGCAATGCGCGTAAAAAACTAGTATATATATATATATATATATATATATATATATATATATATATAAATGAGGTTTTGGAGGACCCGTTGGGACTATGTCCTTTTGGAGTAAAAGAGAAAGTAACTGACATTGCGATCCAACAGATTTATCATGTATCACGGTGTATTTCCACGTTACGAGGTTGGAGACTGCCCGCTAGGCTTGGAATCCTGGTTAGGGGTGTGCACATTAAAAGTACGATACCTGATTCCACAGAGAAAGTAAGCAAGAAAGAAAGATAAAGAACCAAGAGAGTGGTTCTGTGGGCGAGTTGAGTATGTGGCCGGATAGATTGCCGAGCTGGTTAGGTCCATTCACGATTCGTGAAGACCTACCTCCTCACGAGTTAGAGGTTTCGTAGTCACGGATGTGGCGAATGCACGAGATTGCACCGTACGCTAGGGTTTCACTGCGGCGGAGTACCTGCCTCGCACAAGAAGAGAAACGAGAAGTATGAGAAAGTTTGAGCAAGAAAGAAATTGAGTCAAGAGACTCAAGAGAAAGAAAGCGAGTCATTGTGACTCTAAGAAACCTCCACAAAAAAGTATTCTATTTACAAATGAGTGTATAAGTATGCTTATAGTATTGCACGAGATTGCATAATGAGAATGTTTGCACGTGATTGCATTCGAGAATAGTATTGCACGAGATTGCATTTGAGTATAGTATTGCACTAGATTGCATAATGATAATGATTAACCGAGAATGTATATTGAGCATGATTGCTTAGTTGCATTTTGATGTCTTTTATATTTAGTTTGCAAGATGAGAACTTGATAGCATGAAGATGATTTCGTATTGATTGATAGTATGCAATTGCTTGTTAGCATGAGTTCGTTATGATGAGTTTTTTTATGAGAAATATGTGTTGGAATATTCATGTTGATGAGGTTTTTGTATTTGAAGCATGCCTGTTGATATTATAGGTTGCGAGCATATAGAAAGTCTGTGATGTATCTAAAGTTGTCTAAGTGTTGAGATTGTTTGATTGAGTTGGTGAACAAATGTTTTCCCAAAGTGTATACTGTAGTACTTTACAGGGTTGAGTGTGGTTATACTTAGCTTTGTGTTAATGAGTGTTTTTCTATTTGTCTACTTGTTGTTGTGCAAAACCCCTTTCAGGTGGGCCCAGCATTTGAGAGATGATCGAGTTAGACTAGCTTAGTAGATCTAGTAGTTTAAACTCTTATTATTATTATGATGTTTATTTTGATGGATTGTAGACTTATGATGTTCAAGTTTGATGTTAGACATCGGGGTGTTTTTTTTCCCCCCCAAATGACTTTAAGTTAAGTAATTCGAATGTTAGTTTGCTTTAATGTTTTAGTCTCATCCTAAGCTTGTGCAATCATCGTGGAAAGGTGGTTGTGGCGGTGACATTCCCACTAGTTTGTTATTTAAGTTTGTTTGTCCGCTGCTTAGTTTATCTTGATTTTGGTTTTAGAACTGTAATTAAGTTTAAGAAAAGTGAGGTGTTACACGGCATGCCTGCGGTCATGTTCTCTGTAGTCCGAGTGCTACGCAACCGACTCCCAAGCTCTCTCTGAGTGCTCTCCTTGCGGCTTCCTTCTGCTTTAGAAGATTCTGCTTGTAACGTCAATTGCCAAACCCGGTTGAGAAAATTGCTTATTCCATGTGTAAAGTATGTTTTGAAAAATAGAAAAGCCATGCTGCCCAAAATATTCACGTGCTTTAACCATTGATGGTCGCGTATGCTCAATTCACGTATTCTATTTCACACTTTATTAATTTTCCTTGCTTCGAAGCTCCATGTATTCATCCATGTACATCCGTTGCACGTATATGTACAGACTTCCACAATTTTCCCTTTTCTCCAATTGCTTCCGTGTGCGAAATTGGCGCGTGCATGATAATTTCCCATATATGAAGGCGTATAGAAAAAGGACAATTTAGAGCTGCCTACCAGCTGCGAGTCAGAGAGGGCACCTTCTGTAATTCTTCCAGGATTACCGTGCAAGCCCCATATTTTCCATATTTAAACACCTAAATCTTCCTCTGTAACCCCAAGTTGCTGGTTCACTCTGCTCATCAAACTTTCTTTGTTGATGAAACCTCCTACTTTCCTCTTTTGTGAAGTCGAAATTCCTTCAAATCAAGTGTGCACCTATTTGGTGAATCCAAGTTTGTTAGTTAAGTGGTTGTTTTGTTTAGCCTTGTTGTTATCCTTGAAAAGTGAAAGTTAAAAGTTGAAAATTGAGAGTTATGTGAAAGTTGTTAATGTGATAAGTATAGGAGTTATGTTTGTATCCTGTTGGTGTGCTTTTGTTGTGTGTAAAGTGTTAGAATGAGACAAGCGTTAGTGATTAAGTGTAGTTCCTGTAGCATCGTAATGACGCCAAGAAGCAACGTTTGGATCCGAAGCATTCATGGAGTGGATCTTCCCTTCGTCGAAGGCACATCAGATCCAAGGAAGCACGCAAAGCCAAAGTAAGAGAAAAGCTAGCGAAGACTACGTGACGCAAGTAGAGAAGAAGTCAAGACTTAGCCATTATGATCAAGTCAAGAGCTTTCAAAGGAACCATGGCACGGTGGATAGCAATGATATCCCAAGTCAAGACCCAAGTGTAACAAGGAAGAACAAGACTGAAGGGAGACACTATCATTGCAAGAAGTGCGGGAAGGATCACCCATGAACCAACTGTAGTGGGAACCCGATAAGGTGCTTCAAATGTGGAAAGGTTGGACATCCAGCCTATGAGTGCTACGCAAATCAGAAAGGGAACGCCTTAGGTCAAGGACCTGATGAGAATTAAGAATCGAATTAAGTAAGAAAAGAGCAAGTTAGGGTACATTATTGTATAATGTACATCATTTTTGTACTGAATGTACATTATTTTACAGTATACAAAATATGGTTCACACAATAATGATTGCCAGATATCGGGCCCTAGTTTTGTTACTCTGACTTTGGCCCAATTGATGTTGTCTATCACTTAACCCAGCCCAATAACAATATGGGCTTACTTAATAACGAAGCAAATCCCATTTTCACCGCGCTCTCACGTTTCCACGTCTTGTACTGTTGTACAATTGATATTATCATGTGGGGTCCACGATTTAGACTTTACCTAATCCATTTTGTTGATGCGTATATACATAATACATGTGTCCTCTTCTACCATCCGCTTCACACCTCCACGCTCGCGTCACTAGACCGTCATGGCCACCGCAGGCGCTCGACCTCCGGCGAAATCCTACGATGTAGACGTCACCGTCGTCTCCGCCAAGCACCTGAAGAACGTCAACTGGCGTCACGGCGATCTCAAGCCTTACGTCATCCTCTGGATTGACCCCGACCGCCGTCTCGCCACTAAATCGGACGATTCCGGCTCGACCAAACCCGTCTGGAACGAGCGTTTCGTCGTCCCTCTCACGCTGCCGCCGCAGGAATCGCTGCTCGCCGTCGAGATCTTCCACTCCGTCCCCTCCGAAACCCCCAAGCCGCTGGTAGGTACGCTTCGGATTCCGCTCAAGGACCTGGTCGTCGACTCGGGCGATTCAACTCAACTGAAAGCTTTCCAGCTCCGCCGCCCCTCCGGTCGTCCTCAGGGTAAGATCCGACTCAAAATCGCCGTCCGGAAGATCCAGGAATACCAAATTCCTCCTCCGGCTAGCTACTATTACTCATCCGCACCTCCGCCGCCGGCTACACGCGACTACGGAGCATACAATCCCGCTCCATACAGCTCACACGCGCCTCCACTACCTCTAACTACCTCACCGCCGCCGCCTCTCCCTCCGCACACTTATCCCTACGGCGGATACGGTGATCCGTACTCCAACTGCTACCCCTGTTACTACTCCCAACCACCGCCGCCGCCTCCACGGCCCTGGCAATCCACCGCGCCAGGACCGAGCGCCCCAGTGGATTATGCACAGTATGATCACAAACGCAGCGGGAAGATGGGAGCGGGAGCTGGATTGGCTGCCGGAGCTGTGGCCGGAGCCCTAGGAGGACTAGCATTGGACGGAGGTATAAAATATGAAGAGGAAAAGATTGCAGAGAGCACAGAGAGTGAAATTGCTGCAAGGGATGATTACGGTAAATACCAGCATTCAAAGTAATTAATTCCTTACTCGATTATCATCAATGTTGTGTGCCCAGAAATCTGCATGATTGTATATTAGTATCCCTCAAGAAAAATGTAACTATGAATAATCCATTGCAATGGAATCTAGCTTGCTCCTGTCTTGAGTACGTTAAAGAATCTTCAATTTCATTGTGCACATTTTAGAGTGAACAGAGTATTGTTTGCAGTGAGTTAACAGAAGTTTGGTGACTAAGTTTGAGTGAATTCTTTTTTAGTTGAAGAATGAAAATTTAATTAAAGGCTCCAATAAAAAGGTTTAAATTTATCCCAATAGAATAAAATCTTTATCTCATTAATCCTCGCTAAGAGTATGGATATAAATTATTGAGTTCTTCATATCTATGTCGTGATTTTGAGTAAAAATAATCCACAATTTCTAAGTGCTCTCCAAACCCCAACTCGATACAGTATTTAGGATGATGTAAATGGCTCAGTAGACATGTCAAATGTTGGTGCGCATAAAAGATTTGTCTATTTTGAATGTAATTCTCACATTGTCATTGTCGAGGTTCAAACTATAGTCTCTCGTTTTATATATTACCTACTAAATCATTGAGCTAAGCCGCTTGTGTGTTCAATGTTGGAGTAAAATTCTTACTAGGTTTGGTTTGGGGGATAGATGGCGACTCAATAGAGTATTTAGGATGATGTAAATGGCTTAGTAGACATGTTGGAGTAAAATTCTTACTAGGTTTGGTTTGGGGGATAGATGGCGACTCAATAGAGTATTTAGGATGATGTAAATGACTTAGTAGACATGTCAAATGTCGGTGTGCATAAAAGATTTATCTATTTTGAACATAATCCCCCAATGTTTAAATTATAGTCTCTAGTTTCAAATACTATCTACTGAATCATTGAACTAAGCCTGTATGTTCAATGTTGGAGTAAAATTCTCACTAGGTTTGGTTTGGGGGATAAATGGAAGTTTGGGAGGATTTATTTTCTAAAGTTTGCATGTGTACACACTACACATATATACATGATCTTTTCATAGAGAATGACTTTGCAAGGTCTCTTCTCTCAAATATATTACTTATTGAACCAGCTAAGCTCGTGACACTTTGCAAAGTGAGCAAATTAGTGTGTAGACGGGGTAGTGGACAAAGGACAATCATTCTCTCATTCCTCGTGGCATGGACGTATGTGAGGATCGGCTTTATGCCCTATGCTTGGTAGAGAAAAATCATAATTCATCTCACACATAATTATTTCAAAACTTGAAAAATTCTTGTGTTTAGTATGAGGGAATTAAAACTTCATAGAATAGCAACTTCTTCATTTTGTGTAATTGGAAATCCCAACTCCCTCCCAAGAAAGTCGATTTTTTATTTCATGGGAAGAAAAATTGGTGCTTGGACAAAAACACCCCTCCATTTCTAACCCTAATTAACTTTGTATAGTAATAATAGAAATATTATTATAGTATTAGGGATTTAGGGTAATGGTAATAATAATCATATATTATTAATTGTAATTACTCTTATAAACAAATCATCATGTTAGACATTATTATCCAATTATAATAGTTGTAATAATTATTACTCCGTACTATTTATGTGTATTCATTATTCATTATTACCTTTGTATTGTATATAGAAATACTGGTGTAATTGGAATTGTGGATGAATGAACAAGAATCTCTAACTTTAGCATCGCCCAACCCTTGGAATGTCTAACTTTAGAGGCTACCAGGAGGTTGTCTGTGATGAGTCCTCCTGGGGGAAGGCACTTTGAGAGGTAGAGATAATATTCTCCAATAGAGGCTGCATTTCAATTTAGCCATAATCTTATAGATATTCCGTTCGTCTCAATTGATGTGTATGGTTCGGTTAATGAGGTTTGATTGAAGTTATTTTTAATTTAATTTTTCATAATATTAAGTTTAGTATTATATATCAAATTTATATATTTAGAAACTACACTAAAAGTACTATTAAACACAAAAAAAAAAAAAAACAAATTTAAAAACAAGTAAAAAATAATAAAGAAAATAAACAAAGAAGAAAGAGTTGGTTTGACCAATGAATAGTAAGTAGGACAGATAAAATGGAATAGATTGAGTACACTACATAAGGCAATGGGTCTCAAGTCACCAACATATTTCGGGGTTAGTTTCTTTGGGATCAGAACAATATTAACATCATTAAGGTCAGCTGGAAACGACCCTTCACTTAAGCACTTCAAGATAAAATTTGTTACATCCACCCATACCAAATCCCAAAAATATTGATAAAAATCAGGGTTCATACCGTCAAGACCTGGAGATTTGTCAGGAATAATGGAGAATATTGCTTCCATGACCTCTTCAGGAGTAAAGGGTCGAAGAAGCTGAGCATTCTGAGATTGAGAAATGTGGGTCTGAAGAGAATCAACTTGGAAGTTCCTACGGTTTCCCGTGGATTGGAAGATCTTCTCGAAATAACTCATAACTAAGGGGATGTTTGGTTCATGGAAAATGTTTCCTTGAAGTGGAGGAAAATGTTGTTTTCTAGTGTTTGGTTCATGGAATTCATTTTCCATTGAAAAATGAATTCTTCAAATTTGAGGAAAACAAAATCTTTGGTTGGGCTAAAGATTTTGTTTTCCATGGGAGATGGGAAGAAAAAGTGATATGGATTACCTATTTTACCCTTACTTTCTTTTTTAATTATATTACTCTTATTAATTTGTCGGGACATATAGGTCTTTATACTCGTTATTCCTTACAATTTCAAATCTAACCAAACAATAGAATTAGTATTTCCAGTAATTCTTTTTTTTCACCAACCAAACAATGAAATTCATCTTCCTAGTAATTGTTTTTCCATGAAATTTCAATTCCACTTTCCTTAAAATATTTTTTGCGAACCAAACGAGCACTAAAGGTTTTATCATGTCACCCACTCACCCTCCACCCATTCTCCATCCTCTCTTTTTAACTTGTGCACCACATTTTTCTTTTTTGCGAAAGGAAGCGTACTTGTGAGTTGTGAAAAAATTTCGTATTTCGGTCAGTCCCACACAACCAATGTTGTTTTGCTCATTGTTTCCAAAATGATTCCTCCTGATCTAGAATTTGTTCCTATTGTGCTTGTAGGTCCTTGAATATAGCTAACGAAGTGGGGTCCCTCTTCCCTCTTAATAAATTCATCTCTCTTTGTAGCGTCCCCAGTTTAACACCAAACTTGTGGAATTTGTCTCCACCCCACTTCCTCCGTTGTGTGGCACAATTGCATAACTTGTTATGAAGATCACCTCCTCTAGCTAGCTCCCAAGCAACTTGTACCACTCCACGACATCCCACATCTCTCATCTTTGATATATAAAATAACGATTAAAAATCGTTATCTATGCAACAAAACTGGTTTCAACCGTACTCAGTTTTTAACTGTTATCTTTGATATATAAGAGTATAAGACAATGGTTAAAAACCGTTGTCTTTGAACATGACTTACAACAACAATGGTTTCAACAGCAGAACTTTTACCTAATAGACAACGGTTACAAAAATCGTTGTTTATGTGCATTTTTCGTGTAGTGTTGTCTCACTATGAAGAACCTAAGTCCACTTTGACCCGACCCAAATCATAAGTAGACCCCACATAGATTTGTACCACAAAACAACGACTTAAAATGCCATTTCATGCTATTTTTCAACACAATGATGCCAAGAAAATATCTACTCTGGGATCAGTCTCAACCAAGTTGGTTGAACAATTATTTTGATAATCACAAAGTTCTAAATTTTACTCTTTGTAAGAGCTATCTATTGAGTATTGACCTTCTCGATTTAAGCTAATCAGCTATGAACAACCTAAGTTGGTTTACTGGTTTAGCTCATTGTGGTCCTTCGGTGGTTAAGGTCACAACGTAGATTTTGCCTAGAACACAAGTTCAAATAGAGACGGTAGACTTTCATATAAAAAAAATGTTTACTCTTCTTTATTTGATTTTTTTTTTTGAGAGCTTCTTTGTCTGAATTTATACAAACTATATAGTAGAGATGTGAATTCTATTATGTGGATAAGTGGATTCCTATTTTTTAGGACTCTTATATTCAGATTCTTGATGTTGAAACTTTTTTTTTAGGATTAACGTGATGAATATAATTTATCATTTTTTTTGTCATATTAGGAGTAAAAGTGATGGAATAGATATTAATAGTACATGTAGACATGTAATAGGACTCTTTGCAATTTTTTTTTTTTTTTTTTTTTTTTTATTACAAAGGAAAGGGGATACCCATACAATCTACGTCTACACTGAGGCTTGAAACCTAGACCTCCCACATAGGGGAGCAATCCGATATCAATGGATCAAAAGCCACTTGGTTCTTTGCAATTTTCGTTACATCCTTGCAATTTCAACTCACCACCATGATAATAATATTTTAATTAATTACAAAAAAATCGAATTGAAGTTAAAAGTTTGGCATTTCTCTCTCTCCTACCGCATTTGTCAATTTTGCAATGCTTACAAAATTTTTAAATATTGTAAAACACATCACCCAAGACTCCAAGAGAGAGAGAAAAATAAAAACCTTAATCAAGTTGTGCTAGTTGTCAACCTAAATTTATTTATCTTATTATGACAATTTTTCAAATAAAATTACAAGGTGAGATTTGATTAGTACACACCTCTAGACAATTGCTATAGTCTCTCATCACCAAAAAAAAAAAAAAATGACTTGAAAAATTGCACATCATCTTAGCTTGCAATTGCGCAGGACCTGCGACTTGAAAAATTGCAGGCATGCCGATGGTTTTAGTATATGTATTAATGTATTATGTCCGGCGAGTCAATGATTCTATTATGTATATGCATGAGTGCAAATTGTAATGGCGGTCTCAACGGTTTGTTGTCGAAAATGAAAGGATCTCAAAAGAATACATTTGTGTCTTGTCAAACTTTTGGAACCAAAATCCACGTTAATAACTTACAATTTATTTTTTGTTTTTTTGGGTAGTACATAAATTGATTAGGAATATCATTGTTCTTCTTCTTAAAAAGTTGAATCTTCAATCCTAAGGATCTGACAGAGTATTTAAGAGAATGTAAAGTTTCCTCAATTGAACACAAAAGTCCGAATCATTGTTCACAAACTTTACACCTATGACTAATTCGCACGATTAGAAATATGCATTTTTTCAAATTCATAAAGTGGTCGGAAACTATATTTCCGACCGGAAATCACCCTTTTCCGACCACTTTTTAGTTATATATATATATATATATATATATATATATATATATATATATATAT